TCCAACGTGTATTTTAAATATTGTGGTATTTCAGTGTTTCCCAAATGTCAGTTATTTGCATACACCTTCACAGTCTTCATTATCTGTTCCACCTGTACGGGTATTTACTATTTTTCTTCAAACCAATTCACATTTTTTACTCAAGTAGATTTTATTTTTAAAAGTTGTATCATACTATAAATGTGAAATCAGTATAATTCACAATACATAGACAGGAAGAGTTAAATATTATTAGAGCCTAGCTAAAAAGTACCGCTTGTTGAAGGCTCCCATCTGAGGAGGATCAGAAAGCCTTTGGGAGTGTAGGAGACACTATCACCAGACTAACTATATCCATGTAATCATTGGAACTGGAAGAGAATTGAAAGGCAGTAATTTTCTCACCAGGTGAGTCAGTATTATTTCATGCTGTTTCTGTGCAGCATCAAAAATCCTCCCTCTTGCCCAGCTGGTTTGGCTCGGTGGATAGAGCGTTGGCCTGTGGATTGAAGGATTCCAGGTTCGATTCCGGTCAGGGGCACATGCCCAGGTTGTGGGCTCGACGCTCAGTGTGGCATGCAGAAGGCACCAATCAATGTTTCTCTCTCATCACTGATGTTTCTAACTCTCCCTTCCTCTTTGAAATCAATAAAAATGTATATTTTTAAAAAATCCTCCCTCTTACTACCCATAGAATATTGTAACCCATCTGGTTTTCAGAATGAGCTCAAAAACTATACATCAAAGCAGAACAGTCTTTAAAACATTGATCTCTGAGAAAACTGATATTTGCTCTCCTTGGATTTGCCCAAATGAATAAACGTGGTATGTTTCCAGGTTCACAAAGAAATGATGGACAGTAGATGTTACTCTAATCTGCCGGAAAAAGTGCCCGTCTTCCCTGATTCTGCCCACCTGCCGCTGACCAGGTCCTTCTGTCTGGACCCCATGGTCACCCTCCACTGGTACCCCGAGGCCCCGGTGCCATCCCCTTACCTTGAAGACCTGCCGTTGCTGCCCTTGTCCAGTGATTCGCTGGTCCTGGAAAATTACAGTGAGCCCTGCCCCTTCTCCTTCCCAGTGCCTTATCCAAATTACAGGAGGTGCGACTACTCCTACGGGCCCTCCTTCATCCGGAAAAGGAATGAACGGGAAAGGCAGCGTGTGAAGTGTGTCAACGAAGGCTATGCCCAGCTCCGACATCACCTGCCGGAGGAGTACCTGGAGAAGCGACTCAGCAAAGTGGAAACCCTCAGAGCTGCAATCAAGTACATTCATTACCTGCAGTCTCTCCTGCACCCTGATAAGACCAAGACGGAGAACAACCCTGGCAAAGGTCCCACCATCACAGCAGCTGCCAGCCGCCACACAGACCCCATTTTTAGGATCATTTGACTCAGTGGTTCCAAATAGAAACAAATCATATCACAAAATTGGGTTTCATGCCGTCATGCAGTAGTTTTCCCTAAATGAAATTTCTGTGTGGGCAGGTAATAGCTCGGATTAACCTGTGCTGGATATTTCTTGCCTGGGTCTCAGGTGCACTAAACATCATCTCTAGATTGAGAAGATGCTTCTTAAGCTCTTTAGGGGAGCCAGAGTCCCAGGATTCTCTATACCTCTCACCTTGCCCTTCTCACACCCTTCGCCAGAGTCTCAGCCGGTAGAAACTTAAAAGCATTGTGTGAGGAGTGGTTCCTGAATACTAGTAGTGCACTTTGCTAACCCTCATGCTAATAAGCAAATACAACGAACTCCCTTGATTTGTCAAAGTTTGGTGTTTTTTATGATTTGGGGTTGACAATAAATCTATGCCTTACCCATGTCATGATGGGGAAGTGTCGCAGATCTGTGGCAAAAGTAGTTAACAAAACCTTGTCATTTCAAGTTTTTTTCAGAGTCATCTTTTTCCTGCACAGAGAATACTTCCGTAGGCAGCTTAGTGTAGAGGGTAAGAGGTCAAGCTCTGGAATCAAACTGCTTCAATTTAAACTGTGACTCTGCAGCTTCCTCTCCATGTCTCAGCTCTTCATCCACAGAATGAGAATAAAAAGAATAGCAACTACCCAATACGTTTATTATGAAGGTTAACAGGTTAGCAGTGCCTGGCACATAGTAAGTATTTATAACCTTTGTTATTGGTGTCATTATTATCCTCGTCTTGTTTTGTCCATAGCATCTCTATTCTCCGGGTTCTTTAAGCCAGAAAACCTGCAGCTGCCTTCACCCCTGGGAAGGACATTCGCTGCCCCATATTTTGGAGTTTGCCTTCAGAATGTCTGTTCCTCTTCCCATGACTAGGCTCAGCTTTTCCTTCTCCCTTAGCTCCCAGGTCCCATCTGTCACCAGGCTCAGTCAGGACTTCCAGTACACTGTCACACTCATCTCCACTGTGATTCTTCATGACGTCTTCCCACCCCAGCCATTACTTGCTTCTTTGTTTCGTATACACATTTCTGTGCAGTTTCTCTCCTATCCTCACACGCCATTACACACCTCTCTGTCTTCTTCAGTAGACTGTAAGCTCCTTGAAGATAGGGACCAGTCTTACTCTTCCTGTTCTCTTAGCACCCAGCACAGAGCCTCAAGTCAGGCAGGTGTTGTCAAGAAATATTCGGTGTTACTATTTTCCTCTTCCTACCCTGTTACCTGTCTGGGTAACTGTTAACAGGCTCCTCCCTGGCCTCCCCGGCTCTGTTCTCAACTGGCTCCATCCTCACTCTGTTGTTCTTCCTTAAAGCATTACATGCCACTTCATTGCTCAAACCCCAGGACAACGGCCTATTGACTACCACATGTTTTTTTATTTGTTTTGTTTTTTACGTTTATCTGCTTGGTTTTCAAGGCACCCACCAATCTGGCCCCTTCCCAAATATCCACACCTTGATTTTTCCCATAAAACCCATTCCTACCCCAAAAAGAAAGATAGTTTTGCAAATGCATCCTTCCCTGTTAGCTCTTGCTTCCTACCTAAATTGGAATAGTCCTCTATGGAAATCCTACCTGTCTTATTTAGGAATCCTCCTCTCACTGCCAGGGACTTCACTGGTTTTTCTTGGATTCTAACTTTGTGCAGCAAAGACCTCAGCCTTTAGGTATGTAGTCCTGGGTAACAGTCATTCTGAGTATTAAGTTAGGCTCTGTGAGAGCAGTCATCGGGTAGGATGCTTTGGGCTGTAAGGAAGAAAAAAATCCAATCCAGATTGGTATAATCAGTAAAGGCTCGTGTAACTGAAGCTTCTCCTAAGGCTGCCCTAAGGCCAGGCTCAACCGTCACCCACCACCTGTCTTCTTTAGGTCTACCCCTTGCCTTCCTCTGGGAAGTTTCAGTGTCCCAGAAAGGCTGTCAGAGCTCCCAGAACCACACACTTCCTTATTGCTTAGAGTAGGAAAGAGAGTCTATAACCCAGGGTGTTCCCAGCAAAAGTCCGGAGCGCCCCGGGAACATGTCTGTGCCTAGCCAGTCCCTGCAGCCAGGGGGACGGGATGTGCTGATTGACATGTCCCACCTGTGGAGCTGGGGGTACCCTCAGCCTCTCCTAACCACATGGGCCTCAACTAGAGACAGGAACTGGTGGCACGGGAATAGTAATGTGGGAGAGACACCCCCGAATGTCCCTACGTCCTGTTTTGGTATTCTCCACGGAACACTGCCGGGCACACAACCGGTGCCCAAGGACTGACTGACAGGTGTCTCAAAATACCAACCTCTCCCCTGGATGTTCATGAGAGCAGAAGCTAGGCTTCTATTGCTCTGGTCCCTGCTGTCCTCTCCTGCCACCCCAAGTGGTCACCTCACCTCTGCTTCTCACAGAGCCCTGTCTGTTACAGACATGCCCACACCTTCGTTACTTTGTTTTAAACTGGGAACAAATTCTATGTGAGAGTCCCTAGTCCAGGCAGTGGCTCCCCCACCTGGCCGCCTGCTGTCTGAGGGTGGAGCCAGATCAGTAGTCCTGAGTCTGAGGGTCAGCCCCCTCCCTCGCAAGGCTTCCCACTATGGCTGGCTCTTCTGGGCCGTGGGCAAGCCTCGGCTTTTGGGAATTGAAGCTACAATGACCTTTCTCTCCAATAGCCTCCTCACCCCCTCTTCAAAGAGAAAGATGGAGAATAACACCCCCACCCCTTCTCCCCGCACCTGCCTTCCAAGGCCCCCTGTCACTCCTCTGCACATGCCCAGTACACTCAGCCCACAGTGTTCCCCTGGCTCACACCCATGGCAACCTGCTTGGCAACCTGGAGTCAGTTGGGCTGAGGTCTGAGTCCAACTGTCAAAAGGGGCCAAGGCCGAGGTGGAGGAGGCTGGGCTGTGGGTAAGTCTGCCTGTGGGTTCAGACCTGTGGACTGTAGCAGGGCAGACCCTCACGGGCTCTGCTGGGCAGGGGCAGCGCGGTCGTGGGCCTGAGTCACAGCTGCTGCCTCTGAGCAGGTAGGGAGGCCTCATCCTGGGATCTCAGCGGGCCTGGGGCTGAGTTGGTCCTACAGGTGACTGGGTCGGGACGGAGGTCTGGCTTGGGCTGGGGGTCAGTTTGTCATCAGGGTTAGGATTTGTGAAGCGAAGTATGGCCTTACCCTCAG